CTTGTGGTAGAGAAGAAGGAAACAGCTTTGTTAAACAACCAGTCAGTTGGGTATAGGAAACTGTTAGCAACTTTAGACCGCAGTCCCTCCTTGCTGTCCTCTACTCAATAAAGGTTTAAATTTATGTACTTCTGATTTAATCAGGGGAATGAATAATTTGTAGAAGGCTGTTGCAGTAGTCCAGTTGGGAGGTGACAGCAGCCTTTATGAGGAAATGTGTCCATGCATCCAGGCTTTCTCTGGAGAAGCTTCATTTATTCCTGTGGCCTCAGCATCCCATCCAGTTGATGCCTCCTGGAACTTGTGAAAGTATCCCAGTTTGGATGATAAATTATACAGTCATCCTATCTGTCACTGTGCAGATGACAGAAGACAATACAAGATTGTGTGAAGATGTATAATATTGCCAAAAAGAAGCTATACAGTCACTGTTCCATAAAGACAGTATTTTTTTTATTTTATTTTAAAATTCTGCATCTGAAAACACAGTATGACAGAAAGCATCTATATACACCTGCAGTGTTTTTGGTATGATACAGTATTTAATACATCCACTGTTTTCTGCAAAAAATTTTGCTTTGTCTGACAGAAACAAACTCCCCTAGACAAAAAAATACAGCTAAGGCACAATTTTGTTGTTGTTGTTGTTTTTCTGCTAAATGAAAAGACAGAAAAGGTGCAAAAATGGGCAGGTAATGCAATCATTTCCAGGAATCACATTCTACATCAAGGTAAAGCATTTGGATGATTGGAACTTTGAATATTGTCAATTTCAGATAGTTCAATATCTCTTAAAATATTCCTTTAAATAAATAGCAAAATATCTACATCTTTCAGTGTGCCATTTGAATTCTTTTTTAAACTTTATTTACAGATTCTCTTTTTTTTAAAATCAATACATTACAAAATATTTCTGTACAGTTTTATGCATATCATGATCTATAACAAAATAGTTATTTTTAAAAACTATATCACCACATGTCTTTGAAAACAATGAAAGGGACGGTAATAACTTATAGTGAGGCCTCTAAAACAAACACCCAAACAAATGCAATTGACAACATAATATATAATTTTTTAAGACAAAAGAACTATAAAGACAATTGCGCTCCATTCCAGTGAATTTCCTATGAAAATCCTGGGGTCGTCTTTGGCCTCCATCGGTACTGGAGTGATGGGAGGATAAAGGACAGGGGTGAATGTAGGGAGAGGGTGCTCCCTTTGAGAACACGACCCATCTGCTGGGAATATTTAGTGCTATCGCTTTCTAGACAGGAAGGACAGAGAGATAAATGGAGAAACTCTCTTGATTTATCCTTGAAGGACATACATAAAATCACCCAGTCTTCGGGGGGAGGGAAGGAGGTTTGGAACGCCTTTGCGAGCACTCTGCTGGTAATTAAGCCAGCCCATTACAGTGGCAATATGCTCTCAGAGAGTGCTTCAGGAGTTGGCTAAGGTTTAGATGAGCACCCGAGCCTTCCTTTTGCCCATAGGAAAGTATAAGAACATTTTTCTTAAAGACGACATGTGCAAGCAATTTCTATAGCATCTGCAAACTACAGATTGGCAGCCCATTGCCTAGGAGGCTGACACAAAGCTTCACGATGCTCTTTCTTCTGTGATGTTGGTGGAAATGAGAGGGAGAGGACAGTCAGCTTCCCAAAAATAATTTTAAGGCCACATTTCAAACAGGAGAAACATAAGGCTTTTTTTTTTTGGAAGGGGGGATGGGAGAAGCAAGTGGGAGGAAAATGAGGGATGGAGTAGATGGCACTAGGAAGTGGGGCAGCAAGGTGCAGAACCTGCTTTCTGGTGGTGTCTGTAGGCAGAGGCAGTTGAAGTATTCCCAGCCAAGTGGAGAGGGAAGAGAGGCCACTTTCTCCCTGCATGGGGCTTGGCAAGACCAGAACCAAAGACAACATGAGGGATAGACACAGGTGGCGCAAGAAAGCCCTCCTCCATCTTAAGAGGGTTCTGTACAGTATCTTGTTTAAAAGGTTAAAAAAAATAATACTTCTAAGTTAATAATACTTCTAAGTTGGAGAGAGAGAGCCAAAGAGCAAGACAGTGAGAGAGAGTGAGAGATAGAGACAGACGGGGGTGGGGGAAGAGAGAGAGAGAGAGAGAGAGAGAGAGAGAGAGAGAGAGAGAGGAGAATTTGCATAGATAGTACAATCAGCTCAAGCAGATTTGGACACCTTTATTCCCCCCCAGGTAAACTTCTCAGCAGACACAATGAGGTAGCGCCTGTGGTAGACCCATGGGCAAAGTAAGGTAATTGAGACAGAAGCAAAGAGGACATCCCGTGAGCCAGCACAGCTCTACATGGTTAACAAAGAGGCTTCCAGAGATGTGGCAAGATGGCAGTCAACACTTGAGATTTGGAGAGAGCCTGTTTTACATCCCACCTCTTTCTTCTAGACCCTGTCTTTGCCATTTCTACCTAGTTTGATGAGGTCCTAGAAAGTGTGACCCCAAGCAGTTGGGGGCTAAGGGGCAGCAGTCCAGATCTCCAAATTATATTCCTTCTTTCCTCTAGCATAAACTATCTTGGGATCAGGAGAGCTAAATAAGCCAGTTCTCCTCTGTGGGATTTTCTCTTTGGGAGGGGAATGACTAGCAAGAGGTCCCCATTCCCTTCAGAGTTCAACATGAGCTATTATTTTTGCCCTGAATTGATGCTGGCTTTTTTCCTCCTCCACCAGGGCAATGCCTAACCTCATTTACCTTTCTAGAGAGCCGAAGTTGCTGGCAAAGCACAAGCAGAACTGTGGAAGTTTTTTTTTTCCTACAGCCTGTGTAAAAAAAAATAACTTACATTAAAAAATCAGATTTTCTATAAAAATCTAGATTTCTGGCTTCCTTTACCAAATTGGAAGATTCCTCTACATCATGCTTTTGTGCTTATATGCTGTGACAGGCTGGAGCTGAGTAGCGGCTGCTCTTTCTAGATGGGCCATGTACATGCCAGTAAGATCACAGTTGCCACCACTCCTGTTTGTTCCAGTCAGTGTCCTCCTTGAATTTGCAAGCTAGAGGCATGGTTCGCATACACCCAGCATGTGCCCAGAGTAGCTGCCACTGGAGCAGTGAATTGTGTAGACTTGCTCATCCTCTCTAAACTCCAGTTGCTTTTCTTTTTCTCCTTGAGTTGAGGTCTTGTGTACTGTCACCCAGGCTAGAGTGCAGTGACACAATCGTGGTTCACCACAACCTCGACCTCCTGGGTTTAGGCAATCCTTCCACCTCAGTCTCCTGAGTAGCTAAGACTACAAGTGCCAGCTACCATGCCCAGCTTATTATATTTTTCTTTAATTTTCTCTAGAGACGAGGTCATGTTGTATTGCCCAGGCTGGTCTCGAACTCCTGGGCTCAAGCAACCCTCCTACCTAGGCCTCCCAAAGAGCCGGGATTACATGCCTGGACTTCCAGTTGCATTTAAAAAGTTGAACCAACATGAAAAATGAAACCAGAAGGACTCATGATCCAATCAGAAAAGTCTTTTTTCCACAGGGAGAAACTAGCACACTTCTTAAAATACTGGGCCTTTGGAAGTGCCCATGTCATCCTTGGAGACATACTCCCTTACGTGTGGTCTGGGAAATGGGATCTGGGAAGGCTGGCTTTTTCTTGGCTCAGTTCCTGCCTGAATGTCACTGGGTGGGTGGGATATCGTACAGAGTGCTGCAGCCTACGGACATTTCCTGACATCCAAGTCCCACCCCTAAGTCCTTCTGAGTTCGTCAGCAGCTCAGCCCACAGTTGAGGTGCCTGCAGGGTGCAGAAGGGTTTCCAGAGACCACAGCCCTGTGTTTTTGAAATCTTTGGGCAGTCACAGATCCAGGCTGCCTGGTCAATGGTCTCCAATAAATAAGTCATTCTCAGGCAGATTTAAAAGAAAAGAAAGAGAAGAAAAAGAAAAAGAAAAAGGAGTTACACTATTTTCCCTAGGAAAATACTCTGTTTTCTCGAATGATGCTGGGCTTTGTTTGAAATTATCTTTTAAATACATCAAATGTACCATCTGCAAAATTCTTCTCTGATCCCAAAACAGAGGAGATGGAGGAGTTCCCTACGTGAATTCTGACTCCCAACTCCCTGAATTAGTTGTGGTGAGTAGGGAGTGAAGTCTTTGGGGGAGGGGAGGACTCCCAGAGCAAGGTAGCTCTGTCATTTCACCACTTGTTTCCAGGACAGAAAAAACAAGGCAGAAATGTAGTGGGTGCAGGAGGGGCCCTGTCTTGAAGTTGTGGGCTCATATAATGCACAATGACCTGCCATGGCTGAGTCCTCAGAGCCACTGTCATAACACTGCGGAAAACTCAAAGCTCTGGTGACCTGGCAAGGAGGGTGAAAAGAAAGCGGGGGCTTCAGTTGCCCCCAAGGAAGCCTTGGCCAGAGTCAGAGGCTGGGGCAGAAAGAGGATGTGGCTCTGGACTCATGGCTCCCACAGAGTCTGTAAAACCGCTCAGAGATCATACGGGCTTTCTGAGGAAGCCACTCTGAGGTCCCCAAACAACTGTTGGCTACAGCTATCTCTTGGCTCTCCTGCCTGGGTCTCACCACCCTCTTCCTAAGATCCATTTCCCTCAGAAGGAGGCCATAGCTTTGTCATTGTCACATCGAGATCCATGGTTAGCCATGGGAAGTCATCAATGGAGCAAGCAGGGCTGGTCCAAGTTCTTTGTGGTCAGCTCACTCTCTTCCTCAAGTCTTGGACCTGTCACATCCCTGTGCCTGGGGCAGAGCCAGGGAGGCTCAGGAATTCCAGCACTCTTCAAACTGGAAGGACAGATGAGGCTGACACCCACCATGAGGAAAAGGTCCTGATGGTCCCCAAGGCCCCCACTCCAAGTCAGCAGGTGACGTGGGTCAGAGCCTTCTTCATGTGGTGTCTTACACTCCTGCTTTACTCTGAGGACAAGGATGATGAAGGGAAGACACACAGAGAGGTAAACCGAGAGAGAAAGAGAGAGACAGAGAGAGAAAAATGAACAGACCGGGGGTGGGAGAGGAGCCTTTTGTGAATAAAGGCAGCTTCAGTTAGTAAGATAACATAATTGACAAGCTGCAAAAACAGCACCTACTAATTAGTCATGGACTAAAACATATAAATAATAAATATCTAAAGTGTCCCTTCTCTATGTCCTCCATTACCAACAGGACATCCTGCCAGCTGACAAGTAACCAAAGGCCAAGGGTAGTCCCTTCAAACACACACTGGAATGAAGTGCCGGGACTGACTTTCTAGGAAAGGATGGTTGGCAACCAGGGGCATGACTTTTCCAAGGGCATCCTGTCATTTGGGGGAGTGGGATCACAGGAGGAGGGACCTCCAGGGAAGAGCTCTCTGGAGGAACAGGGGCAGTCCTCCTGGGGGGTGCATGGCAAGGAGACCCTACAGGTTTCTGGTAAAATTTAAAAATTTTAAGACAACCTTCCCACTAAAATTCAACCTTCCCACTTTTAAGTTGCATGTCCATTTGGGGTTTTTGGCACCTTGGTTAAGGAAGGTGTGAAATTGAAAACCAAATCTGAAATGCTTTTTCCTAGATGAGGAAAGTCTGGGTCCATGCAGTTTGGTCACTCCCAACAGCACCAAGTGAGCGAGTCACAAGGGTTTCACGTGCCTGACCTCAGAATGAAGGGCTCTGGCGGGAGATGGGTATTGCTGTGCTGTCCACCTCAGGAGTTTGGCTCCAAGCAATCTCTTGTGAGTTTCATGGCCAAGACCTCCGAAGTTCCCATTTTCAACGACCAAAGGAATTGTGGTCTTGGTGTCCAGTCCATGAATGGCTAGAAGACTTGAGTTTCATGCTCATAGATATCAACCCATTTCTGCTACTTCATGTGAAGGAATGAGGCCTGAACTCTTGGACAGGTGGAAATCACACTTCTGGGTGGACCTTGGCCATGTCACATCAAAAACCTTTCCCACTCACTAATGACTAAAGAGACTAGCTCAACTCCAGAAAGGCTGCTGGGAGATCCAGATCTCTCCCCAAGCCTGCTACCTCTCTGGAAAAAGGCTCATGATGACCATGACTCCCATGGGCCTGTCATTTCAGGGCTGGCACAAGTTTCTTCCAGCCAAGAGGAGCAGAAAGATGAGCTGGAGAGCAGGGCTGGAGAAAGCGCCCACCCATAGTGGTCTGGGCAGTGCTTGTCTAACAGGGGTTTGCAGAGCCCTTGAGTTCTGAGGAGGTACCATAGGGGATGTCCTTGACAAAGAGACTGCTCAGTGGGCTGAACTTCCAGAGGAAGCCTCACTCTCCTCAGCTTCAACCAGAGCAGCTTGTACTTTATCCACACCCTGAACTTCTATCTACTACTGTGCTCAGTAAACAAAATTTTGCTGCTCAAAATAAAAGTCTGAAAATCACTTGTCTGGTGTATGCGTGTGTGTGGGCAGGGGAGGATCGGGTCACTAGAGGGGAAAACAAGGAGCCTGGAGGGCTTGAGGATCAACTAGAGGAGGTGAGACTGTCATGGCGTTGGGCCTGAGTCACCCCACTCCAGTTCACCAGATGCAGGTTGTTGGCGGACCCTGCTTTGGCCCCTTATCCTTCCTTCCCTATCATTCTATGGCCAGGAGAGCCCCTTGCATAAAAGGCCTCCTGGGGCCGGGGTGGGAGGCCAGGGTGCAAGCCCCACAGCCCCTCCAGCTGCTTTCCTGTTGAGATCCCACTGTGGCCCACACGCATCCAGTGCTACCTGAGCCGGCCATCAGGTTTGACCGCTCCCAGCTCTGACTTGGGGTCAGGGCTGAAGGAGCTCCAGGCCGTCTGGCTGCAGGTCTGCATGACTGGGCAGGCAGAGGGACCTGTGGCACAGACGTCCATGGCGGTCCACATCCCGCCCACCAGCGAGTCCAGCCAGCCCTCCAGTGCTGAGCCCGTGAAAGCTGCGTTCCTGCGTGCCTGCTCCACCTGGGCGGGGTTGATGGGCAGGCTGAGGACAGGGTTCAGACTCTGGAAACTCTGCTCCATGTAGGCACTACGGGGGGGCCCACTGTGCAGCTTCGATGCCTCCTCTGAAAGTCAAAGGGAACAATTTCCAGGTTAGAAGAGCCCCCAATAAACAGGACATCTACTCAACTGCATGCTCACTGCTGCACCACGTGCCCTGAATCTCCTCATTTAATTCACATGACAGTCTCAATCTCATGAGGAAGTTCTTTGAGTAGCACCCTTTTACAGTTGGGGAAAGTGAGCCTGCCAGGATAGAGCCCGCCTTTTACAGGGGACAGTGTATTCCTTTATTCATTCACAAACATTTGTAGAGTGTCTTCAATAGTCCAGACATTCATTCAGTCAGTACATATTTTTAAGCGCCTACTTTGTAAAGGCATTTATTCAAACACATATCAACTAAACATCTATGATTTGCAAGGCATTTATTTATTTGGTAAAGACATGTTAAGTGCCTACTAGGTACCAGACTCTATCCTAGGTGGTGGAGTAACCCATATTGTCAGGGTTATTACAATATTATGGAAAGAAACTGACAGCAACAAAGAAATAAACAAGAAGATAAATAACGTCATTTCAGTTGCTGAGGAGTATCATGAAGGAAATACACAAGGTACTGAGTCCAAGCAGGAAGTTGGCGAACTACGACCCTTGGACCAAATCTGGCCCACCATTTGTTTGTGTAAATGAAGTTTTATTGAAACACAGCTGTGTCCATGTGTTTGCATACTGTCTATGGCAGTTCTTGAGCTACCACAGCAGAGGTGAGTATTTGAGACAGAGACTGTCTTTTGCCCGAAAAAAACCCCTGAAAAATATTTACTGCCTAGCCTTTTATGGAAAAAGTTTTTGTTAACCTCGGGGTCAGAGAGTCACAGAGTGTTATGTTAGATGGGGTAGACAGAGTCCTCTCTGGGGAGGTGACATCTGAGCTGAGTGATGAGTAACATACAGGTCCCAGGGAACAGAATTCCCAGCAGAGGGAACAGCAAATACAAAGCCTAGTTAAGCACCTCTCCTCAGGGAGTGTCAGAGCTAGGGCTTGAACCCAGATTTGTTGCCCTGGTGAGGAGTCAAGCTCTCAGCTACTGAGTGTTCACCATGAACTCTGGATAAGCCAAGAATTTCAACTTCCAGGCACCCTTAGTTCAAAACACAATGCATGAACTGACCATAGCAAAACCATCCTGGAAAGCGTAAAGCTTCTTGAACCAGGGCTATGTAGGGTAGGAGGTCAAACTATCTCCATAACAGCTTTGCCTTGCTGAGCATCTACTATGTACCAGCTACTCTGAGAAATGCATCATGCGAGAGCCTGGGTACTACAGTCAGGCTGTCTGACTTTGAATCTCCACACCCCACATACCAGGTGTGTGACTTCTGACTTCTACTCCTGTGCTCAGTTTCTTCACTGATGAAATGGGTGAAGTAAATAATACCTTTCTCATAGCTTTGTTTGTGAGGATTAAATACATTGACTCATATGAAGTCTTAAAATGGCACCTAAATATACTAAGTGCTTGGAAAAGTTTAGCAAGATTATTACTGTGGGTATTATTAGTCCATATAATCCCACACACATTCAAAACTACAGTTGGTTTTAACATGCTCATTTTTCAGATGAGGTAACAGAGGCAGCTATGGTTAGAGGTAGATGTATGGTTAAATCCAGGACTGGCTGACTACCAAGCCAGTGCTCATCATCATAATACCCTAACTGCAGACTTATTCCTCAGCTGGAAGTTAAAGCAATGTTTCTGTTTTTGTTTTTCCATCTGGGATCCAGTCTTGTGAACACCTTGGTTTCCCCATCTGTAAAATGTGGATCTTCATCCTGGCACCAATTAGATACATAGGGCTGACAAGAGGCTCAAACAGAAGTTCAGGTCCTGTGTACATGTACATGAGGGGAACTGTTACTACTTCCCAGGGCTTCAAAACGGGGAAGCAGAAAGTATAGAAGCTTGGGGTGAAAGAAAGAAGCTAGACATTTCTGTTCTGAAGTTCCCACTCACTGCTTGTTTTACTGCTAAACACAAACACATATTCTTTAAAAAAGACTGGTCAATGAATCTGATGAGTTGTGTTTTACCAAATCAGTTATGCTATGGCCCATCTAGCTAGGATTAGAAGAAACCTCCTTCTGAGACAATGCAGTGTTTTGAAGACAATGCTTCCTGTTTGCCTGATAGCAGCTGCCACCACCAATGGCACCCAGGAGAGACTGGATAATCAGCGGACTACATGATGGCCTGCCTTTTTAACAGTAATGAGAATACTAGCTGGATTCAAAGTATGCATTGAGTAACACAGATAAGAACATCATTCCTTTAATTCCCAATGCTCCAGGAAGTGGAGGGACTGAGCTGAATGGTTTGGAGGGGGACAAGAGGGAGAAGGAAGACAGACGTGCGTGGAGCATCTATTCAGTCTTGCTAGGATTTAGCAAACTTTCCCTCTTTCATGGTATTTGGGACCCACCGTGTTTAGAAATCTGGTCCCAGTCCACCTCTCTCTAATATTGGGAATCAGGGTGGACAGCTCCAGCCCTACTTGCTGGGAGAACAGAGCCTGGTGTCTTTGATGCAGGTCCTAATTCCTGTACCGGAGCCTCTCTATGCCTCCATTCTGCAGAGTGAGAAGCTGGGAGTGAGGAGATACCTAAACTTACAAAAGGCAGGACATTCAAAGTGAAAGGAGCAGTTAACAAACATTCGAACACTTTGAACCCAATATTGTGGTTGATGAAAAAAGCCCTTATGAGAAATGAGGTTAATGTGGGAAACGCTATTACAATATCAGTTTGCAATGCTCATCTTTATAATTAAATTTTCCTCAATTCCACCTCATCAGATTTCTCGAGATTACCAGGGACGCATCAATAGAAAATTACTCTTGATGAATCATTTTACAAATTGCATTGCTCCCAACTTCGTGTTCCCTGTCACTGGAACATCGTTAACAAACACAATTACTGACAACAGGCAGGCCGCTTCCTGTGGGGCAAAACGACCTCTGGGTCATCCTGAGCATGGGTGGGAATAGCCCAGACTTCCTCAGAAACTCCAGAAGGAAACACTGGGAAAATCAGGACCCCATGAATGGCCCTGGATTTCTTTTTTTGTTTTTGTTTGTTTTTGTTTTTTTTGAGTTGGAGTCTCACTCTGTCACCCAGACTGGAGTGCAGTGGCCGCTCCCGGCCACCGCAGCCTCGACCTGCTGGGCTCCGGCGATCTTTCCGCCTCAGCCTTCCACAGCTGGAACCACAGGTGTGCGCTATTCAGAAATCCTCCTTTGTTCTGTCCCAAGGGTGTGCCTGAAGCCACACAGACACAGAATTTACATCCTTCTGCTCCATGTCTTAGGAAATCCTTAGGAATGTTAATGAAGTGTACCTTTTCAAGGGGGACCCCGAGGACCCTAAGGGGGTGGGCTCTGGCCTGGTTGGCTCTGGAGGGGCTGTCTTTTGTCTGGTTCATAGGGGAGTGGAAGAGTAGGCTTCCATCTCCAGAAAACATGAGGTCTCTATTTTCCTCATGAAGTCTCTATCTTCCTCATGAGGTCTCTGTCTTCCTTATAAAGACTCTATCTTCCTCATGAAGTTTCTATCTATTTTCCTCATGAAGTCTCTATCTTCCTCATGAGGTCTCTATCTATTGTCCTCATGAGGTCTCTATCTTCCTCATAAGGTCTCTATCTATCTTCCACATGAGGGCTCTCTATATCTTCCCCATAAGGTCTCTATCTTTCTCACGAGGTCTCTGTCTTCCTCATGAGGTCTCTATCTTCCTCATGAGGTCTCTATCTTCTTCATGAGGTCTCTATCTTCTTCATGAGGTCTCTATCTTCTTCATGAGGTCTCTATTTCTTCATGAGGTCTCTGTCTTCCTCATGAGGTCTCTGTCTTCTTCATAAGATCTCTACCTATCTTCTTCATTAGGCCTCTATCTTCCGCATGAGCTCTCTATATTCCCCATGACATCTCTGTCTTCTTCATGAGGTATCTATATATCTTCCTCATGAGGTCTCTGTCTTCCTCATGTTGTCTCTATCTTCTTCTTCATGAGATCTTTATCCTCCTCATGAGGTCTCCATCTTTCTGCTCAGCATCACATCATAGCAGAAGCTGACACAGGTCATTTCAAGACTCCCTTTCCTTGGACTTCAGACACCCCCTCCTCATGTGTGTCTCCTTCCCCTTGCGTCACTAACTAAATAGTCCCCAATTCAGAATTTTTTTCTCAGCTAATGTGTTTCTGGTTTTTGGGTTTTTGAACTGTTAGATCCAGAAATCCTGTTTCCAGGAGTCTTTTTTATGGATGTACCTGCATGGGCAAGTATAATTGTATGTTTAAGACTCATCCTTACAGCATCATCTGTAACATCCTCATCAACAACAGAAGTTATGTATCCACCAATAGGGAACAGACAGATTGGGGCTTCTTAATCCCCTGGAATAGGATAAAGCCAAGTGTGTGTGTGTGTGTGTGTGTGTGTGTGTGTGTGTGTGTGTGTGTGATTTAGGATGTGTGTGATGTTTATGCTTTAAAAGCATTAAAAACTTCTAGAAGTACATACACCAAACAGTAGGCAGTGGTTACTCCTGGAGACAGGATTTGAGTGGTGAGAAAAACATTCTACTTGATCAAAAAAAGGTATAAAGAGGGAAAATAGAAGTATAAAAGTAAACCCTTTGAGTGAAAAAAAAAAGGCAAAGAGGAGCCTGACATCCCACTGTCTGTTCTCCTTGCCTCGTGGAAACCAACAGTCTTGATTTTGTGTTAATAATTCTCTTCATTTTCTCACAATTCTCTACTGACACATGACTCCTGAAATAACATATTGCTGGCTTTGCCTATTTTTGAACTTTAAATACCTGCATCATAATTATGATTTATTCTGTGACATTTCCCCCTCAACATTACGTTTTAGAGAGTCATCCAAACCGATACCTGTATTTGTGCCCACCGCCACCTAGTACTGCACTGTATGAACAGACTGCAAATTGTTTATCCTTTCCAGTGTTGGACATTTGGACTGCTTCTAGTTTTGTGCTATTAGGAATAATTGTTGCATGAATATTTCTGCATCTATCTCTGGGCCTATACCTGGGGTGGAATGTCCGTGTGGTAGGGTGTGTATGTGAGTATCAGCTGTACTAAGAGATGCTAAACCATTTTCCAAACTCATCTTATCAATTTTCCCTCTCACTGGCACTGGATAAATGTACAAAATTCTCAACCTTACCAACACAGGATTTGATTTAACCATAACACATTTTCCAATATGATAAGTGTGAAGCGGAACCTCTCTTTTGCTTTTTTTTTTTTTTTTGAGTCAGAGTCTCACTCTGTCACCCAGGCTGGAGTGCAATGGCATGCTCATGACCACCACAGCCTCATCCTGTGGGGCTCAGGCAGTCCTTCTGCCTCAGTCTTGCAAGTAGCTTGAACTACAGGCAAGTGCCACCACATCCAGCTAATTTTTTGATTTATTGTAGAGATGAGGTCTCCCCAAGTTGCCCAGGCTGGTCTCAAACCCCTAGGCTCAGGCAATCCTCTTACCTCAGTCTCCCAAAGTGCTGGCATTATAGGCGTGAGCCACCACACTCAGCTGCTTTTGCTTTTAATTTGCATTTCTCTCATTATTAATGAGGCCAAGCATCTTTTTCTATGTCTGTGGGTCATTTATGCTCTCTCTTTGTTTTTTGTTTTATAGCAGAGGTTGGCAATCTTTTCTTATAAAGGGTCAGATACTAAATATCTTTGACTTTGTGGGCCATATAGTCTCTGTCACAACTATTCAACTCTGCCACTGTAGCTCCAGAGCAGAGACAGACATGTAACTAAATGGGCATGCCTGTGTTCCAGTAAAACTTTATTTACAAAAACAGACAGTAGGCTGGATTTGGCTTGCAACCTGTAGTATGTCAAACTCTGATTTAATGGGATTTCTTTCTATACTCTAAATATAAATACTTTTTAAAAATGTGTAGCAAACAAATATCTTCCACTGGTATGAGGTTCATCTTTTCACCCAGTGTATTATGTTTTTAATGAACCAGAATCTTCTATTTTAATTGCTTTTTGTTTTACTTTATTTTATTTTTGAGTTGGAGTCTCACTCTGTCACCCAGACTGGAGTGCAGTGGCCGCTCAGCCTTCCAAGTAGCTAGAACTACAGGCACACGCTGCCATGCCCGGCTAATTTTTGATTTATTGTAGAGATGAGGTCTCGCCAAGTTCCCCAGGCAGGTCTTGAACCCGCGGGCTCAGGCAATCCACTCACCTCAGCCTTCCAAAGCGTGGGATTACAGGCTGAGCCACCTTAATTGCTTTTAAAATAGTAAACAAGATTTGCTGAAATTCAATATCTGTCTGGGTTTATCTTGTCTTAACTGTGATCAAGGCCTTTGGAAGTCCAATGGGAGCACGTCTAATAAATAAGTATCTAGTACATAGACAGATGACATCACCTCAGTGTACAAGTAGGAAATGAGATGGTTCCCCAGGACAGATGAGCAGAAAAAAAATACTAAGCGCAAGGGGTTCAGTCAACCCCTTGGACTAACATGTCCAAGACTGCATGCCCCACATCTGGACAGCATTATTCTGCTAGAGTCACAGACCCTCAAGGGCCCTGGGGCCTAAGTATGTCCCCCACAGGGAAACTGTGAGTACTCACCTGGTTTGATGGGCTGCCTGTTGGAAAAGGTCAGAGGTGCAATAAGGAATTTGGTCTCTGCAACCGGTACCCAGTGGTGGAGAATTTTCACTGTCCAGACCCCAGGCCTCAGGGGCAAGTTCAAAGGGGGCTTGTAGTGTGTGAATTCGGCAGTGGACTCAATCAGGATGTCATAAGTGGCTGCAATGATGTTGACAGGATCCACCCAAATGACAGTCACAGTCACATTGGGTCCTTTCCCCCATTTCTGCATACCCACCGGTTCATCCATGGGCCCCAGGAGACCCCCAAAGTTGCGGAACAGTCGCTCCTTGGCGTCCCAGTCAGTGCCGACCTGAATGAGGAGAGTAAGTCTTGAAACCACTGGGCTTGAACTAGGGTGCCAGGACTCAGAATTGTTAGTCTTTATGTATCCATTTTACAGATAAAGAGATGGAAGCTCCAATTAAGTTACCTGCTCAAGATTGGACAGCTAGTAGGTAGAAGACTGAGATTTAGACCCAGACTGGGGGATCACAAAGCCTGTTGTCCTTTCACCAAACCACTGGGCTTCCTGTGCCTGGTGCAAGGTGTATGCTTTGAAAAAATTACAACAACATGCAATAAATGAATGAATGAATGCCTGTGTAAAGGCCAACTTAAGAAAACACACCCTGGCACTCAGCAGGTTCAGCTGGCTTCCACTTTGGTTCTTGGTTTTCCAAATCAGACAGCTCCAGCTCCATGTAATACAATCGTTCTGAACAAGAATGGAACCTTGGTTTTGGACCCGCCCTACCATATATACTGGGAAAAAGGAGGGTGCTCAGCATTGCCTGTCTTTTACAGGGGTTCAAATGCCTTTCCTTGGGCGAGACAGCCTTGGCTTTCCCAAGGCATTCTGAGTTGGACCTAGGAATGGGGGCTATTGTTTGAGCCATCCATCCTGTGGGATCTCAGATGGAGGCGCGTGTGGTAGTGACATGCAGGGGTCTTCCCTCCCTCCACTTGTGGACCTGTAATTCATTCTCCACCCAGCAGTCAGAGAGACTGTGTGAAATGTCCACTTGCTGTCCCCCGCCACCCCAGGATTCCTGCTGCACTCAGCGTGGGAGTGGTCCCCTCACCTCCACGACAACCAGGCTCATCTTGTTTCGGCCCCTCAATGCAGTATCCCCACCTCAGGGTTTCTGCACCATCTGCCCTGCCTGAAACACTCTTCCCTCACATCTTTGAATAGCCTGTCCTTTATCTTGGAGGTCTCTTCCCAGATTCCTTCCCTGATCCCACCCCCCAAGTCTAAAATGGCCTTTCAATCATTGTCATTCCCTGTTGCTTTATTTTCTTCCTCCCAGTGGTGATAAGCACTATCTGAGAGGTGTCTGTTGATGTATTTATTCCTTATCTCCTCTGGCTGTAATATAAGCTCTGTGTGAATGGGGGCCTTACTTGTCTGTTTCTCTGCTCTTTCTTGGCACTTACTACTGTGCTTAGCACACAGTAGGTACTCAAGCAGTGTTTGTCCAGTGAACAAGTGAGTGACTTGACCAAAAAAAAAAAAAAAAAAAAAGAATGATAGAGATCCCTGATACTGAGTTGTGCTGCTATTTCACTAAAATTAAAGGTCTTTTAATTTGAAATAAACAAGCTGAAATCTCCTGCAGGAGGAGTAATTCAGTGGTTTTGAAGACACAGTCTGTGGGCATGTTGATAGCAGGTAATGGGCGCAATATAAGGCTTGTATTGTTTCTGTGGTCTTCTCTTAAACAGCATCTGCAACGGGCATGGATGTGGATATATGTATCTGCACTCAGAGAAGATCTCCCATGTGCAGAAGGGATAGGAGCTCATTGACTTCCTTCTTGTTTTGCACAAGTTATTACGCCCACTCTTTACCCAGGACACAGAGTTACACCAGTGACTACTTACCAAGGGCTAACAGTATGCCAGACAGATGCATTAATGTATTTAATACTTTCAACTCCAGAAAGGGGAGACCCTTGTCATCATCCTCACTTTACAGATGAGAAAACTAAGGCTCAGAGATGTGAGGTAACTTACTATGGTCAGGGAGGGGCACAGTCAGCATGGGAACCCAGGAAGTTCAACCCCAGCTGTATTTTTATCCCCTTTGCTATAGATTGACTCCCATTCATTCATTCTCTCATTCATTAATTTATCCAACACATATGAACCAAATGCCTATTCCCTGTCAGGGTGGCTGCTATATGTGCACATTCACAGGCATACACCTTGTTTCAAGTTTTCATTAGGCCAGAGACTAAAGACTGGGCCTGAGAAACTCTCCTAAGCATAGCAGATATAGTCATGGCTTTGATGCTTCTGTGGGACTGCCGCCTCTTTCAGATGTGTGAAATCTGGCCATTTCCTACCACCCTGTATATCAGCAGGGCCCAGCTCTTTATGGGACCCCCTGGTACCCAGCACAGTGCCTGGAACACAGCAGGAATTAAAAGGACACAAGTTATCAAAGGAATAACTAAGTGAACAGAAGTCAGGCTAGGCCTCTAGGTCTTGGAGATTGTTCTATAGAAACCTGATCTCTGTTTTCTTGCTTACAAGCCCTTCCTGCGCCTCATGATTCTCACCCTGTCCTAGAGACCCCTCTGGTCTGGCTCTGGCTTCCTTTCTCTCCTCCTCCCTCTCCTCCACTTGCCCCCTAGCTCCAGGGATTGCTCTAAGTGCCTTCCTGAAAAGGGCTCTCTCTGGTCTCTTTCCTTCTGTCCATGCCCGGTCTGCTCTCTGGAACAGTCTTCTTTCTTTTCCTCAACCTCCTCGTGGGCGGCTCCAGCTCACTACCTATACTTTGACCCAAGAAGCACCTCTACTCAGAAGTCTTCTCAGGTTAGAGGCACCACGGAGGTACAACTCTAAGGATTTGACCATCGTAGCTTCTCCCACTCACCCAGCCCCCAGCAGTACCATGTCATTTAGTTTACGTGTCTTTCTCCCCAGCTCTAGACCATCAACTCCATGAAGACAGGGGCTATATCTGGGTTGTTCATTGACGTATCTCTAGTGCTTAAAACAGTGCTGAGCATGCAGTAGGTGCTCAATATATCTCCATTTCCGTATCTCTATCTATCTGTCACCCATCATCTCTCTAACCCTATCACGTACCTCTATCATCTACCTACCTATCACCTGTCTGCCTGTATACCATCTGTCATCGATTTATCTATACGTGTGTCTGTCATTTATCTTTACCTATTGTCTATCATCGATCTCTATTTGTCCGTCATCTACCTATCCATCCATCCATTTATCTGTCTGTTCATCATCTATCGTTTATCTTGAACTTGAATTCATATTAGAGAGTAGGGGCTGGGCACACGGACTTCCCTTAGCACCTCAGCCCTCCACAATTGGTTTTCTACAGAAATTAACAAAACAAATGAATGGTCACAGATCTATTGGGGTCATATTTAAAGAAGGGATTTTTGACAGGGGAATGTTAGAACATCCTTGGATCCTCCAAAGAAACAGCAAAGAACAGTTTTCTGAAATCTGAGCCTGAGCCTGCAGGTTCGAGACGCGCCTGGGCAGGTGAGACCTCATCTCTACAATAAATCAAAAAAAATTTAGCCGGGCATGGTAGCATGTGCCTGTAGTTCCAGCTACTTGGAATGCTGAGGCGGAGGGATCGCCAGAGCCCAGCAGGTCGAGGCTGCGGTGGCCGGGAGTGGCCACTGCACTTCAGTCTGGGTGACAGTCTGGGTGACAGTTTTTTGACCAACTCAAAAAACAAAACAAAACAAAAACCAAGATAATGTGAGCAGAAGAGTTGTAAAGCAACTGACTAAAAAAAGAAAAAAAAACTTGGATCTTGTTTCTAAACCTAGGGGCATGAGGAGACAGCCAGCTGCCACTCCTAAGCCTGAGGTGAGGTAGGGTGGCCTGAGATGGAGCATTGGTGCTGACATATCCTTTGTGACCTCCAAGACCTTCTCATGGGGTCTCACCATGGAAGTCCAACACCACCCACTGCAAAATGACCAATTATCAAAATTTAAATACGTATCCAAGTTCAAGCTTAACATACTGTTCCCCAGCTTCCAACCCACCAAAGTCTTCCCACTGAACTTAAAATACAAGCCAGACATTTTTCCAGGGCCTGCAAGACCCCTATGCTCTCTGAGACCTCTCTTTGACCATTCTCTTTCTCACTCACTGTGCTCAGAACAGATTGGCCTTGCTGCTTCTTGAGTACTCCAAGTTCATTCCCAGAGCCTCAGGGTCTTTCTTTGCACATGCTCTTTTACTTGCTCAGAATGTTCCAGATCTCCTCATAGCTGGCTCTTTTACAGGTGTCAGCTCTAAAGCTATCTCTTTTTAAAAAGCCTTCCCAGATGTAACATCCTATCAGAGGTAGTCCCCGTCAATGTTCCAAGTCCTCAGTAATCATATGAATGAAGCTTAATCTTCTCTATAGTACTTGTCATTAGACTGTTTTTGTTCATTTATCAGCTCACTCACTGGCTGGCTGCCCCACCAGACTGCAATTCCACGACAACAGGGGCCTGGTTTGTCCGGTTCACAGTGATCCCCCCTGAACCAAACACATCATAGGCACTCAGTGACTGCCTGTGGAAAGAATGAACCTCTTTTCTCCAAGCCAACAGCAGGGGATTCTCACGAATTGGAGAAATCTATCTGAGCTGCACAACAACACTAGCCAGTTCTGCTATCTGGGCACCATGCAAGGCCCTGGAAGGGTGCTGACCAGGGACATCCTAAACAGCCCACCAAGTGGCCCTGCCTGCTTCCCTTCCTTTTGGTTCAACTTTACACTTTTGCCCTTAAAAATAATAGACTTTAGAAGAAATTTCAAAATACTAAATTAGGGCTTTCTGCATCCCAGGCTGTGATTTTTGCCAGTGATCCTGATGGTTCTCACACCAAGGGTACAAGACCTAGGGTAGGAACCCTCCCAAAGTACTAGCCATGAAGTAGCCAGCATCATTTTGTCATGACCAGAGGTGCCTGGTCACCCAACAGCAGGCTGATAAACAGGAGAGCCCAGACAGCAGGCATTCATCTCTTTAATGGAACATTAATATCGTCAATTGGCTGCTGAGGCCCCCAGGACAGCATCCAACTAGGGCACCATCTAATTGCCCCCTGACACCAGTAATTTATGGAGTGGGCTCCATTGGTAGCTCACACCCAGCCAATCCACTTGGAGGCTTAATGGAAAATGGTGGCTTCACCATAAATTCTGGCTGGTGCCTGTTTTTCATGGGGAGACATTCACTGAGACATAGGTCAACCAGGCAGGGTAATAGGGAGCTAGAGAAGGCCTGGAAAATACCCTCAAGATTGTTCATACTCTAAAGTCAGACCCTTCATCCCTACCCCAGCGGTTAGACTTCTTGAAATAGTTTATCTCCTAAGCTAACTGCTGATATGGGGAAGGCAGAACCCAGGTGCTGGAGTTGTGTGGGCAACGTTCGCCAAGCTTGATCATACTTCCCCCTCCTTCTAACACCACTATCCAAGTGCACTCATTTATTTATTCAAAAATTTTATTCAGCATCTACCCATACTATGTACTCTTCTATGTGCTGAGAATGAGAGAGATGCAGTTACGTCTCTCTTGTAGACAATGAGTGATCAGACATATCAAGATAATTTTAGATTCTAAGAAAAAGCAATAACATAGGAAGGCACGTTTGACAAAGACATGAAAAGTGTGATTTAGGTAGAGAGTGGTACTAGATGAAGATGGTGAAGGAGACAGAGGCAAGATCATGTAGAGTTTCATGGGTCTGGAAGCAGGGCTGGTGTTACAAGAATGGTGCTGGGCAGCTCCATCTCTCCAGTCAGAAAAATAACCAATACGTGATGCTGCCTTGAGAAGGGGGAAACTGCATTCTATGAATCCATGTGTTTATGCATCAATACAACTGATCCATTGACCCACTTCTCCATCCATCTATCTATTTGTTCATCCACCTTTTTTCCTTTCCTCCCCCCCTTCCTCCTTCTCTCCTTTCCTTCCTTCTGTTTGTCCATCTGTCCTTCCATCCATTTGTCCATCCATCTGCTTATCCATCCACCCATCCATTCATCCATCCTTCCCTCCATTCATCCTTCCTTCTTTCTGTTTATCTGATCATCTGTCCATCCCTCTATCTGTTCACTCATCCATCCTTCCATTTGTCTGTCCACCCATCTGTCTATCCATATGTTTACCCATCCATCCTTCCTTCCTTCCATCCACCCATTCATCCATCCACTTACATATTCAGTGATTGATCTGGTGCTCACTTTGAGCTAACCCCTATGCTAGAAACTAGGGAGAAAACACAATTAAGCATGGGATTTGTGGCCAACGAGACCTGAGTTCAATTTTGAGCTCTGCCACTTCCCAGCTGTCATCCAGAAAAGCACTTTTGATCTCTGTAAACTTCAGTTCTCTAATCTGTAAAATGGGTCTAATAATACTACTTCATGAGGAAACTGGCTTGTTACTGGTATATTATCAACATAGATTTAGGAGGAGTCATTGGCTAGGATGAAAAATTAAGAGGAGTTTAAATTCTCCTCTAAAAACAGGCAAAGGTTCTAAGTTGGTTTGGCCCACTGATGTTGACCATCCCACTATCCCTCTCCTCCTTCCCTGTTTAAGGAGCTGCTGCCAGTGTTCAGGGCTGGAGAACCTTCTCTAGGCACTGTGTTAGTTCATCTTTAGAGCTCTCCAAGTCCTCTTTTCCTCCACCTCCAACTAAAAGTGTCATTGTGTGGAAGAGAACCCAGTGAAGGGACTGTAAAAGATGATGAAGTATGGGAACATCTTGCCTCTTACCTCAGAAAACTGAAGCCTCCCAAAGTCACTGGGTGGGCTTGCAATCTTGAAGACTTTTTTTGGCATCACCCATGTCTCCAGAGTCTCTAGTTTGCTCACGGCCAGATTGGTGGCATGATGCTTGATCAGAAAGCCCTGGAAACGGTCAGCAAGGAAGTAGAGGTGGACAGATGCTGGGTGGCCCATTGGGTAGTACCTGAAAACACAGAAGCTCATGGGTTAGGACCCAAGATGTAGAGGATCATCATGATGGGGCCCCCACCCACCATGCCAGACCTGTCCTAAAATAGTCCCCATTTTATACAATGCCTCCCATACTCCTTTGCATCAGTCTGCAAACTTCTTCCTGAGTATCTATGATCTAAATGACTACGAACTCTCTTGCTGATTATAAATAAGAAACATGCTGACTGTGGAAAAGTACAATAAAAAATTAAAATGACTACTTTTGATGTCTCTTCCCATAAATAACGTCAATTCACAGATATTTATTGAGTCCTCTGGTGCTTGGGACTGGGAAGTGAAAATGGTATGTGAACATGGTCATATCAACAGATTTCCCTTCAGTCTTACTTTCCATGCTTATATTTGCATAAGTATGACATAGTTAGTATTAAAATATATACACGGGTTATATTCTGCTTTTGCTGCATAGTATTTCCTGGGCATTATCATGCCTTTGAAGTCTCTGAAAACAATTGTGTGTGTGTGTGTGTGTGTGTGTGTGTGTGTGTGTGTGTGTGTGTGTGTGTGTGTAGATTTTACAGAGCAAAAGCAAGTTCCCCATCATTGGAAGATAGTTATATTTTTATGTTTTGCTCTTCTAAACGATGCTGCATTAAACATCCTTGAACAATTTTTTTTTTCTTTTTCACTCAACTCTCTTTTGGAATTCCTAAGATGCTCTTTATGTCTGCAGCCTAACTTTTTTCTTTTCTTTCTTGCTTCTTCCTTTTTCTTTTCTCTCTCTCTCTCTTTTTTTTACAAGATTTGTTTAATTTATTTTTTATTTCAATAGCTTTAGAGTCCACAAATGATTTTTGGTTACATGGATGCATTGTAAAGTGGCAAAGAAGTCTGGGATTTAAGTGAACCTTATACCCAATAGCCGATTTTTCCTTCCTATCCCTGTTCCCAATGCCCATCATGCCATTTTCTATGCCTTTTCAGTTCTTTGGTTTAGCTCCCACTTATGAGTGAGGACATGAGGTGTTTGGTATCCCGTTTCTGCAATGGTCTCCAATTCCAACCAACTTGCCACAAAAGACATCATTTCATTCTTTTTTAATGTGTACTTTAAAGCTTTATCAGAAGTATTGATTTGAGCACTCACAGTCCTCACCACCAACACTGGGTATCATCTTTAAAAATGACTGCCAATCTGAGAGAAATGCACACGTGCATACATATATGCATAGAGCACTTGACTTTGATTCACAAAGGCTTGCTGGCTGAAAGGGGCAGGGAACTAAGCAGAGATGCCCAGAGAGGGGAGGAAGCAGACAGCGCCATGGAACCCTGTGTGGTGTCTTTCCTACTTATGAAATAAAAAGCTGCAGCCTCCACAATGTGTGAATTGCACAGCACCAAGAGGGTGCTTGTGGGTCCTTGATAACAGCATTCCACAAATCACTGTCCGTGTTCAGCAAAACGCAGCCTTCCCGCTGGTCCTGATGTGGAGGTTTAGGTCTTTATGTCCAATTATAATGGTTAGGGACTCCGCCTTCCTGTGTTTACGCATGCCCTGAAATCACTGCCTTGTTACTGAGATGCCTATGGGGGCTCTGAGAATAAAGCCTGCACCATTTTCAGGGTGTTCACTGGGCATCCACGGCTCACACAAACCTGCTTTAGTTCAGCAAATTCTAGGCAGCACTGCCTGGAAGAACTTTTTGTGAAGATGGAAATATTTTATATCTATACTGTCCAATAAGATAGACACCAGCTGCATGTGACTGTTGAGCACTTGAAATGTGGCCAGTGTGAATTTTCAATTGTAGTTTATTTTAGTTCATTTGGACTTAAACAGCCACTTGTGTCAAGTGGCTACCCTACTGGACAGCAAAGATAGAGTCATGAAAGAGCATGTGGTCACCTGCATGATTGCTCCCAAGTGTCACGTCTCCTGTATCCAGGCTTTCTCCCACAGGTCTTTGCAAGTTTCCTTGCACCCATGAGGCAGAATCTATTTTTCAACCTCTAGAATCTTCTTTGGCCAACAGAAAGTAGTGGGAAGCATGTAACGCTGGTTCTGAGCTAGGGTCTCAAGACACCAAGCGTATTTCTACTTGCTCTTTTGCTCTTTTCTGATCACCATGAGAGCATGCCTGGGATAGTCTGCTGGAGGATGAGACATCTGGAACAGAGCAGAGCCACTCCAGTTATCCCAGCTGAAGCCACCCTAGATTAGCCAACTATTCCCAGAAGGAGGACTGAGGCCAGCACAGACCAGAAAAACTTCCCAGTTGATCCATAAATGTGAGTGCTACATAAATGCTTACCATTCAAAAACACTGATTTGGGGATGGCTTGTTACACAGCATTATCGTGGCAACAGACAGGTAATGCACTCTCAGTGTGTGTTCTGTAGGGTGGGTAGGGGAGGAGGGCATGTTGTCATAGAGGCCAAAAGAAGAAAGTGTCTTCAGAAGGGAGTGGCCCTTCAAACATTTTAGAAATGTTTGATCATCATTCATTTCCTTGACCCTCTCAGGACCCCATATAACTGGCCACTCCCTTCTGGAGTTCAGGAGTTCATCATTGATGAACTCCCTTCTGGAGTTCAGGAGTTCATCACTGATGCCTATCTCTTTTTACCTTCCATCAAGAAATCTTATTGTCTCTACATGAATCCATCCTTGGTCCTCTTTATGTATTGCCAGAGTCCTGGTCCAAGCCAGCATATTCCTCACCTGGTCTTTTGTGGAAGCTTCCTTAATTGTTCCCTCCTTATTTTTTACCACTATAACTTATTCCTGTAGTAGCCATAACCATCATCCCCTGCTTAAATGCCACAAGTGGCTTACCTGGTCTCCACAAGGCCCTGCCTGTCTCTTTCTTTAGATTCTTTTTGTTTCTTTCTGTCCCAGTCCACTACCATCTAGCCACAGGGACCTTATTCTGTATTCACAAACATGCCAAACTCATTTCTGACTCAGGGCCTTTGCACAGCATATTTTCTCAGCTGGGAATGCTCTTCCGCCTGAGTCTTATTTACCATTTTGCTGAAATGTTATGGTCTCAGAGAGATTTTCCTTGACTGCTGAATTTTAAGTCACTATCTCATCACTGTCACCTGACCTTACCTTCATTTTTGGCAGAGCATTTAACCTTATGGATTTTTCATTCTAATTTGCTTGTGCTTAGGTTCCGTCTTTGCACTAGAATCTAAGGGCTTTGAGCTCAGGGTCCTGGTCTGCCTGGGCAATGGCTGAGTGTCCAGTGTCTAATGCAGCACCTGACACATGGTAGATATTCAATCAATGTTAATAGAGTGCATGAAATTTCTAGAGGAATTTTCTTTTGAACCCTGTGCTTCTAAGCTACATTTAGGGTACATGAAACCCAGCACTGAACACAAAGCCCTCTGATGCCTCATCTTGACTGGATTTGGCATTTAAGTAATTAGATCTGTTACTTCTCTAAGAGAAATAATCAAGATGCAGTAAAATAACCTAAAGCATGCTACAGATACATTCATTTGGCCCCAAGGTGTTTTTCTTTCTTATTTAAATAAGGTAAACATTGAAAAAATATCACAAAATTTGGTCAACAACTCCAAGTATACGTTCCCATAAAATGTGCTAGATTTCAGCACCATGGAGCTCCAAGTTGCCATGGTCAACCCACCCTGCAGGGCTTACAATGAGTGACTCTTGCTCCCACCTGGCCCTGAAGGGCATTTGAATTTGGAGACATAATAAAATATTGACATCCTTATCTCTGGATAGTGGATTACAAGCAAGTTTTGTTTTCCTGTTCTCACAATCTGCCATTTCAAAAATTTCTGCAATCACATGTTACTTTATAATGAGAAAAAAAAATCAATAAACATTATTTTTATGAAAGGTTAGACTGTAAAAGGGGAAGGCACAATTTGCATGAAATACCCAGATGTAATGAGACTGGTAAAGTTTTCACTTGCTGTTTCCCCAGATGCCCCAGGGTAGGACTTCGTTCTCTTTTGCCTTTTGGGATAAGGGTCCTTTGTCCTGATTGATTTGCAGCTACCTATTCATAATACACTGGCTTTGCCCACAGCAAGGCACAACGGTTCTATTACAATAAAAAATGAGGTGGAAGCCAGAGGATTCCAGGCTGGAGGCAACTTATGTCTCGCTTTATTCCAAAACAAGTACTAGGAGAAAATTTCAACAACCCTAAATAAATTGGGGGTGTCTTTTGAAATTTTCTATAAAATAATTTACCTTACACGTTCTAGGAAGCCTGTGATTAAAATTAGCTTTGAACGATATTTGCCTCCCACGTGTCAGGCACTGAACTGTGTACTGGGGATGCATACAGGGGTTTTGAAGAGTGGATTTTGCCCGACTAGCGAAGTGGGCATGGTGGAGGGGGCCCTTGGATGGCCCATGATAACCAGGAGGGGTCGGCTGTGCAGTGGTAGTGTGTGTGGGGGGGTGGGCGGGAGCAAAAAAGCAGCCAGAGAACAACTGCACATCTAGCCAGCGACTAACTCACACAGTTGTTCACAGTTGACTGCATTTGGTGGCTTACTAGTGGCAACCAAGACACCAGCAGTGACCCGAACAAGTACTGAGCACTTAGTATGTGAAACACTGTTAAACTGGGGATGACGATACTACCTAACTTATGAGGTAGTTTTTGAAATCATCAATAACTCAAAAAACAACAGATCTGGAGAGGATGTGGCAAAAAGGGAACACTTTTACACCGCTGGTGGGAGTGTAAACTAGTACAGCCTCTGTGGAAAACAGTGTGGAGATTCCTAAAAGATCTAAAAATCTACCTTCCATATGACCCTGTAATCCCCCTACTGGAAATATACCCAGAAGAACTCAAATTACTCTATAAAAAAGATATCTGCATGTGTATGTTTATCACAGCATTGTTCACAGTAGCAAGAACATGGAACCAACTGTGCTGTCCATCATAAGAGGACTGGTTTTAAAAAAAATGTGGTACATATACACGATGGAATATTACGCAGCCACAAAGAAGAACAAAACCATGAACATCACAGCAACCTGGATGGACTTAGAGTCTATAATACTGAGTGATCTTTCACAGAAACAAAGAACTGAGTATCACATATTCTCACTCATAAGTGGACCTTGAACAATTATCGTGATAGTGTAAGTAAAGGATTGGCAGTAGCAGGAAACTGCCAGGAGGGGAGCAGGGAAGCGGGATTGGCAGTAGCGAGAATCTGCTGGGGGAGGGGAGGCATACCTCATCAACAAGGGCACCTGCATAACGAACATTTGTATACCTAACCCTGAATTGCAAAAAATAAAAATAAAAAAAGAACTAGTTATTGAAATTTGTTAAGAATGAAAAGAATTTTTAACATTAAAAAAGTGAATTACAATAAAATTTTTGACTAAAAAAGAAGATTATTGTCTTTAAACTTCACAACACCTTATGGCATAGGCATGATGATGATGATGATGATGCTTCACGTTTTCAACAAAGGAGGAAGCTGAGGCTCAGAGAGGTTAATGACTTACCCAGGGTCAACAGCTACAAGTAGAGTTAAATTCCAACTGCAGGCCCGGGGTTCCTAACCCACACCAGTCTCCCTTTAAATCAAATCAGCACCCATATCAAGAGAGGATCCAAGAGATGCGAGGAGGTGATAAAACACGAGCAGAGACCCTCAGAAGGCAGGATGGCTAGGGACGAGCACCAGATGGGAAACCTGCTTGTGCTGTCAGGGTTTTCAGCAACAAAATTTCTTCTTTTCTCCTTCTTCCCTTCCTGAGAAGAGGGAAGAATGAGGCTAAGAGACACACAAGGGAAGGTACAGTGAACAGAGATGGATGCTTAACAAAAACCAAAATGTTGCTGTGTAGTTAAAAGGGGGATATGGAAAGAGGAGATGGGAGAACAAGGAAGAGAAAGACGATTAGCGGCACTTCTGGGAATCTATCCTAAGGAGCTAATCAGAAAGGAGAATGAAGAAAAGAAAGGCTATCTGCAAAAAGAGACTCACCAGAACATTACTCACAATGGCACACTACTGACCATAGCAACATAAAGGGCTGGGTGAAGCAAACTCTGGAATTTCTATTCCGTAGAATACTAGCAGCATTACAAAGGATCCTATCATTGCAGAAGCCGCAAAGTCAATCAGGAAATGAGGGCTAAGAGGAGCAGGCCAAGTGAGGAACACAGGGAACTGGGTTCTTGTTGCAATTATGTAAATATTTATAGGTATGTTGCTCCAGGAAAGAAGAAAAGGCGCAGGCAATGAAAAGGTAGGTTGGCTAGGGAAGAGGACAGGAGGAGAGGGGGTTGATTCCCCCCTTCTTTCCATATATTCTAGAACACTTTTTCCCCGAAGTGTCAGCATATTGTGGTCGGTGAGATGATTTTAAGGGGCAGCTGAATCATTAAAGCAATAGTTTTGTCTTTTAGACAATTGCTTGGTTATATTTTTAGGTGTGATAATGACGTGAAAATTATTTTTCAAGAACAAGTTATTTTTCAGAGATGCATATTAAAATACCGATGGCTGATTTGATGTCCAGGATTTACTTCAAACTGATCTGGGAAGAGTAGAAAGTGGGGGAAGGTGAAGATAAAAACAAGATCAGTTTGGAGTTGGTAATTGCTAGGGCTGGGTGATTGAGGACATGAGGTTATACTGTTCTATTTTGTACATATTTGACATTTTCCATCATGAAAAGTAAAAAAAAAAAAAGAGGAAGTTTTGCATTTTCAAGATGACTTCCCACTTAAGACAAACACTACCACACAGTACAGTGACAATGAGGCTTCCTGCTAAAGTCTACACATAGCATAAAGACTGAGTCCCCTGCATGCAAATCATTAGGTAAATATGAGCTCTCATATTCTGAGGAAGACAGTAAAGCAAAACGCTGGCGATTGCTTGGACTGGAAACATCAGGCACACTAGGATGGTTGCTTTTTGGGCAAAATAAGAGGGGGAGAAGTGTGGGGGGAGTTGTGACCCCTAAAGAGAGAGAAGGCCCCTCCGGTGTGCCCTTGGCCCCTCCTGCCTGCTCCTTCTGCCCTTTGTACCCCCAAGAGCTCACCGGCAGCTGTTCTCTCCATCTGTATGCAGTGACATCTCTGCCCGTCGGAGGCCCAGGCGGGTGAAGGAGTGGTACAAGGTGAGCGTCACGTCACTGAGGCTGTGGACACCGTCTGGCTCATCATAAATGTTCTCCCAGTAGGAACGGAGGCCTGGGGTGCCTGCGGGGTAGTTCCCATACAGGTAATAGTCCAGTTGTCCAATGATCTCCTGATTCACCACAGCTTCAAACTTGCGGGCAAAGAAGGTGGGCCGGGCTGTCTGCTGTACTCATGGGTTGAAAATAAAAAGCCGTTTCAGTAAGTGGTAGGGAGACTCCAACAGCACATCCTGTGGTTAGGAGCAAGACTCTGTGGCCAGTCTGCCTGCACCCAAATTCCAGCTCTGACATTTACTGTCTTCTGTGTTCTGTTTCCTCACCTGTACAATGGGTTATAATGAGGGTGTGAGGAGGATTAAATGTAAATGCTGTAAAGCATTTAAAGCAATGATAGGCACTTAGTGAGTATCACTTAGATGTTTGTTAAACCAATTACATCCTAGATGTTTATAGCTGGGATGGATGTAGAAGTCATTTCACTGGAGGTCACAGACTAGGAGTCAAGGGCAAATACAGATTGCAGTTGTATTTTAGTAGGCCAGAGGAGTATTTTAAGATGGAATGAGCTGGCCATATTGAAAAAGTAAAAGAGTTCACAGAAACTCTCCTAGTTTCCCTTTAAGCAGCAACAGATCTGAAACCCAGGTCCACATTCTTACATGGTAACAGTTAGTTGAAACTGAATAGCGGCTGTCCCTTTAGAAAGGACATGGGCTCTTTTGTTCACCACAGTCCCCACCACTCCCTATTGCCTCCCAGCAATTTAGTTGAACTGCAGAATCACAAGGAATCAGCATCTTTGGGAACAAGTTTAGGAATTTGTATTTTTAAAGGTTTGCCAAGTGATTCATTTGCTCATTAAGGCTTGAGGACAAGGCAAAGTGACACCAGAACAGGCTGCACATCAGAGTCACCAGGATAGCTCTTAAAAATTCAGATTCTGGGCAACCCCCTCGGGTTCTCTCCCCTTCTAGGATCTTTTCTGTCCTCTTGATAAATCTTGCTTTAAAAAAAAATTCAGATTCTAGGGTCCTTTCTGAGACCTATGAGTCAACATCCCTGAAAATGAGACTCAGAAATGTGTATCTTCTCCAAAAACAAATACAAAGAAAAAAAGAACAAACAAACAAAAACAACAAAAACTTCCCAGGTGATTAGGATGCAGCATTTGAGACCCACCGATATAAACCAAGTTCTCAAGGATACAGGCCCAGAGAAGGGAAAGGACTTATCTAAGGACACACAAGTCAATGGCAGAGCCAGGATGAAGATTCAGGGTCTACAGTTTAAGAAATAATATACCAAGCACCTGTTATCTACCAGGTTTTATACTGTGGTCTCGGGCAGGGATTGACACACATTTTTCAATAAAGGACCAGAAAGGAAATATTTAAAATAGCTTTGAAGCTACTCAGCTCTGCTTTTGTGGCATGGAAGCAACCGTTGACAAAATAGTAAATAAATGGGTATGGTGTGTGCCAATAAAACTTCATTTACAGAGGCAGGCAGTGGGCTGACTTTGGCCCCTGGGGCTGGAGTGTGCTGACCCCTGGTCTAGGGCTATGGAAACAAATAAAACACAGTCCTCTTCCTTTGCAGAGCTAATTATGGCCTAGTGTTGTGTTATTATTGACCTAAATTTGGGTCCAGCACTGTTTTCACAGCAGTGGATTAATAGCAACAATAACCACTGAGCATACACTCTTCCTAGCACACTGCATCTAGGTTATTGCCTCTAATTCTCCCAACAGCCCAGCGAGATAGGTGCTGTGATTCCCATTATACAATACAGATGAGGAAACCGAGGTCAAGGAGGCATATGAGATGTACAAATTCGCAGTTGTAACACTCAAATCCAGATCAGAGGACTCCAAAACCCAGGCTCTTTCTCCTGCATCACTTGAGGGTCAAGCTAATGGGGTCAACGGGAAGCCCCTGATAATAAATAGCTTTGGTGTCATTCTAAACATCTCACTGCTTCTCTGCTTCGTGAAACCCAGGCCACTCTCTCTGTGGTAGAGTTCGCTTAGTTCCTTTACAGTAGCACTAAAGAGTTAGATCATCTGAGTTCAAATACTCACGTTGCCACTTTCAAGCTGTATACAAGGGGGGACACCACAAAAAAGATCCTTAATTATCTTTTGGAAGGTGGAACCCATGTAGTACACTCAGAATTTGCTCCTTCCAAATAAAAAACTTTACCTGAAAGTTTGGAGAAGGCTGCATCACGATTTGCAGAAGAAACATCCCTCATTGTGGCAAACAGGTGACTGGTTCTTCCACCATGATGATGCACCTGTCCACACCATGGTAAGTAGCGAGTGTTCAGCAGTTTGTGAACAAAAATGGCATGACCTTTGGGCCTCACCCTCCCTATTCATCCGATCTCACCCAGAGTGACTTTTTAAAATTTCCCCAGGTGAAAAAATGTCCTTAAAGGGAAACATTTTGCTGATGTGGAAGAGGTAAAACAAAACATGGCAGAAGCCCTAAAAGGCATCAAATGAGTTCAAAAACTGTTTTGAACAGTGAAAAGGGTGTCTCAATAGCTAAATTACATCAAACGGAGAGTACTTTGAAGGTGATTGAAGTTTAAACATGTAAGAATAAATGTACAATTTTTTATAAATAAATTCTGTTTTTAAAAAAATAAAAATTCTTTTGTGTCTTTGGGAAAATACTCAACCTCTCTGGGACTCAGCTTCCTCACCCTTAAAATGGGTATCAAAGGCTGGGCTCGATGGCTCATGCCTGTAATCCCAGCATTCTGGGAGGTGGAGGCCGGAGGATTGCCTTAGCCCAGGAGTTCGAGACCAGCCTGAGCAACGTAGCAAAACCTCAAGACCAGCAAAACCTAGGGACAAGCAAAACCTCATCTCTATAAAATAAAAATTTTAAAAAGGGTGTAATAATACAGATGTAAGCATAGTGCCCGGCACACATTGCAGGATGCTATTATTATGTGATTACTATTACTACTCCTTTAAGTTTGCTACCAGGCTTCCATCTTCCTAAGGGTTTATCAGTCTTCATTTTCTGGGGCAGAAAACAGGCCTTAGGGGCAGGCCAGCTTCACTTCTGCTTGTGATTCTCTGACCATAGCGGATCTTCTAAAAGGGCATGTTGCTATATTTATCATTTTTTTCTTCCGAGTTCTTTGCACAAGAACGCCAAGTTCCTTCCAGGCAGCAGTGTCTTGACTCTAGACATTGGGGGATATTCTTGATCGTTGTTTACTGTGAGAGAAAGAGCTGCAAGCACATGATCTGGGCTCTGTGTTGGCCGGTCTTTACAGAGACCGTGCTGTCCCCACGATGCTGGGCTAGAATACAAATGCAACCACCCAGAGCAGGTCTCCAGGGACTTGCCAGGTGGAGGCTCTGGACTCTTAAGTGTTGAAGGTTCTTTCAACCAGGGCAGCAACAGGCTGGCTTCCCAGGTGGGAATTCTTTTTGTTCTCTTTCTAATAGGCCAAACATCCCCCCCCCCACCCCAGAACCGTCCCTGTGCTCACAGATCCTTTCTGCATGGACAACAGGGAGCTCAAATGTCACCCAACTCATGCCTAAATTAACACAGGTCTATAGCCATCTCCGGGGCAGCCCTCACTCTGCTATCTTAGTTGGCTGAAGATGCTGGGAGGGCACCTCAAGGGACTATGAATGGCAGCATAAAACCTATTGTGTATTCTGACCCTGTGCAGGCACAAAATCAGGATGGCAGTGGGGTCTGCTGGGAAAAAAAAACTCAGCCTGGAACTCGAAACACCCCAGTGGGTCACTCCACCACCACCCCCAGCCCTACCACTTCACTAGCTGTGAGACCAAGGGCAGGGAAGCTCACTCCCCTGTGCCTCAGTTTCCCCACCTTCATGGTGGATATGATGTCCACCCCAGTGAAGCCCATGTCCCCACTGCATCTGGCACAGAGCCTGGCACAGAGCAGATCAAACATGAGCTGTCTCTCAGTCCCCTGGGGGCTTTGTGAGTGGATTTGACTCTGACTCAGTGGGCCTGGAGCAGGCTGAGGTTTTGCATTTCCAACAAGCTCCCTGGAGGTGGTGATGCTGCTGGCCAGGAGCTACATTCTGAGGAACCAGGCTAAGAGGCTGGAGGCTCCTTGTGGGCAGCATATATCTCTTCCTGGATGTTCCAGTTATGGGAAGAGTGAGGGAATAGGGTGTCTTGGCTGGGTTACCATCCTGGCACTGCTGTCCCAAGTGTCCCTGCCTTCCCTCCCTGTTCACAGCTTAGGAAGCCACACACCATGTGACCTCAGAGTGATTCATTTGATCACCTCTTGGCGTTCTGTTTGAGGCATCTGCAGCTGGGGCTGGGTGTGGTGATGGGTGAGGGGGAAGCAGCTCGGAGGGGCCCCTTCTTGCCCAGCCACCACAATGGCAGGAGAGGGGCAGAGCGGGAGGTGTGCCCAGGCAGGACAGATAGAGGCTGCCATCTGGGACCAAACCTGGGGAACGAGCACCCTTCTGCCTCCCCAGAACAGGAAATAGCCAGGCAGTGCAGAGACAGCTATGAGGGTAATAAAGTCACCCTTGGGCACTCTTGTTCCTCCTTCAACTACACAGAGCTCGGTGGTTCTCAAACCTGGCTGCTCCTCAGAATTTCCCAAAGTGTAATTCACTAAAAATACAAATTCCTGGACTTCACTGGAGATCAGTGATCAGGGGTGAGTTTGCCCCCAAAGGGCATTTGGCAATTTCTGAAGACAATGTCTGGAGGATAATAATGGGGTCTAGTAAGGTAGAGACCAGGGATGCTGTTAAGCATCGCACAACGCATAGGACGGACCCCATGACAAGGAATGATCCCAGTCGCAATGCCAGGAGCTCTGAGTTGAAAAACTGTGCCCTAAATTTACTTACTTTAATACACAGAAGTGCTTTCAATAAATATTTTAACAAATGTTTTAAACAAATATTTCAAAAATTTAACAAATATTATCAAAAGGCAGAAAAGAGAAGAAAATATGCATATGGTCTTTGGAAACAGATACCTTGGGCCATATGATCTTGAATAAGTTTTTTGACTTTTTTTTGCCTCAGTTTCCCTATCCTTAAAATTCAATAATAATAATAATAGCCACAATAAATATGTTAAAAGGTTGTTGTGGGGTTCATGAATCAATATGGACAAAGGGGTCAGAACAGCCCTGGTACAGAGTACAAGTTCAATAAATGTTGGTTATTTTTTATTTTTTATTTTTTGGAGTCAGGGTCTCACTCTGTTGCTCAGGCTGGAGTGAAGTGGCATAATCATGGCTCACTGCAGCTTCAGCCTCCTGGGCTCAGGTGATCCTTCTGCCTCAGCCTCCCAAGTAGCTGGGACTACAGGCCCCTACCACCATGTTCAGCTAATTTTGTTGTTGTTGTTTATTTGTTTTGTAGAAATGAATCATGCTATGTTGCTAAGGTTGGTCTCAAACTCCTGGGCTCAGGTGATTCCCCTGCCTCAGTAGTCTAAGTAACTGGGACATGCACCACCAAGTCTGCCTAATTTTCTTTATTTCTTTAGATAAGGTCTCAGTATGTTGCCCAGGCTTGTCTTGAACTCTTGGGCTCAAGTATTCCTCCAGCCTCGGCCTCCCAGAGTTCTGGGATTATAGTCATGAGCCACCACGCCCAGCCACTGTTGGCTATTGGTTGTTGTTTCTTTTTTAAGTTGGAGTCTCACTCTGTCGTACAGACTGGAGTGCAGTGGCCGCTCTGGGCCACCGCAGCCTCGACTGGGCTCCGGCGATCCTTCTGCCTCAGCCTTCCAAGTAGCTGGAACTACAGGCACATGCTACCACACCCGGCTCATTTTGATTTATTGTAGAGATGAGGTCTTGCCAAGTTGCCCAGTGGGTCTCGAACTCGTGGGCTCAGGAATCCACTCACCTTAGCCTCCCAAAGGCGTGGGATTACAGGCTGAGCCACCGAGCCCAGCTGGCTATTGTTGATGGTGTTACTATTATCATCAGCAGCCAGGGCTGGGCACCGCAGGCTAAGACGACCCACAGGTCTGGCCTCGCGTGCCTGCTGAGGTTTGTGGGAAAGGTGCGGTTTGGGGCTGGCAGAGTACTTCCGGCTTACCTGGAAGCGGTGAAAGTCTTGTGGCTTGAAGTCATTGGGTGAGCAGCCGCACCAGTCCACGATGTGCTTGTACTGACACTTGCATCCCAGCTTGCGGATCCAGTTGGTGATGCGCAGGTTGTTGTCTACCATGGTGTCACAGTGAGGGCTATTCTCCAAGACCGTGTGGAAGAAGGACTGTGGAGACAGAGGGGCCCAGCCTGAGACCTCTCCTGGCCTCCCCTAAATGGGTTGAGGTAGAGGGGTCCTTCCTGAGGGCCACCCAGCGGCAAGGAGACCCTCTTGGAGACTCATCTATTCTCTCTGTGTGTGCAGGGGGACAGCTGCCAGTCGGCCTCAACTCGTGGTGCAGCTAGATGCTTTGTCCAGAGTGGTTTACTTCTACTTGAAAGCTTGTTGCTCTAAGTAGTTCTCTAAGTTGCCATTCCCCAGTGCCCACAATTGGATTTTAAGACATTGGCTATCACCCAGGTCATCTTCTGTCTGTTCAGCAGAGAGGAAAAGTCCCTCAGAGTCTGTCAACACATGGGGCAGAAGAAAACCTGGGGACAATTTTCTAGAAAATCTTGGATCAAAAGGTCTCTTTCTTTGCAAATAGGCAGGTCTGAAACCAAGGGATTCAGGTCTGAGACAGCTTGATAACAAAGACTGATGCTCTGGAATTTTACCCCTGGGAGAGAGGCCAGATTCATGACTGCATCAGGTGTGGGGCCTCCTGCCTTTGCCACCTGCATAGTGTGACCGCAGCACCAGGAGAGAGTGGAGGGGAGAGCAAGGGTGTGTTTGTGTGTGTGTGTGTGTGTGTGTGTGTGTGTGTGTGTGTGTGAGAGAGAGAGAGAGAGAGAGAGAGAGAGAGAGAGAGAGAGAAGGGGAATTTCCACTGTCCATGGTCCTGAACCAGATGCCAGATGTCACTGTTTCTCCCTCATCTTAGGACTCTTGGCCAACCGCTCCAAGGAATCTGAGCAAGAGTCAGTGCTGGCAGTGAGGAGAGAAATCAGAAAAGAGACAATCGTTGATGCAGCTGAGAGACTGCCAGAGAGAGAAAGAGAGAGATTTCTATTTCAACACCATTTTATAAGAATCCCCGACACCAGGAGGACACAACTCTCCCCACTCTCTGCTCCCTAAGGGAAGCCACTGGGGGGGGGTTGGTCTGTGTTTGCCTGTTATTATATTATGGCTACAGCCTCCAGATAGCTTCTAAACTAGTCCCCTGGAGGTGGCCTGGGAGAGGGGAGGGCAAGGCAGAGACGAAGGAATGGAGGAGGTAGGAGCTTACAGAAACCCTATAGTGTATGTGTCTTTGTGTTTCAGGGCCGGAAAAGGGCAGATGTCACACACAGAATTCTGGTCACCAGCAGTGTGGTGGGCATCTCGGTTAAAACAACTAAACTACCAACAACAATCTCTTCTAAGGGGCATGTGGGCAAAATGAGAATGAGGCTCCACCCACCATTCTTTGCTGACCTTCTTGTGATGCTAAATGACATGCCTATGAACCTGGATTTTAAGCTTGAGTTGTCTACAAGCCCATGGAGGGACACATTGTCCATCAAGCATTGGGGAAGAGTACCCAATTACCTATTGCCCTGTGTCCTTTCATAATGATACAGAAATTCCCTGCAAGATAATGGATGAGGCGGTTATTGGAATTGAGGGAAAAGGTGATTTTCACTGAAATAAGATTAAAAACTGATTACTTGACATGTGTGCAGAATAGTAAAACCCAGCCCAAGGATGACAAGCTCATCAACTCCCTGCATGATGCAGGTGGCCAGCCCTCCCTGGAGCTTGGCACTGTCCCAGACACTGGTGAGAGACATGGACATCATCAAATGAGATGCATCATTTTGTCTTGTCTGCAGAAATACACAGCCCTTGTGGTCCAGAGTTGGAGTCCCAGCCAGGGAGGGATCAGTGGGCCATTCATGAGAAATACGGGAGGCCCAATAGAAATGGAAGCCACTCTGGAGCTTTCTGAAGTCAGATCAGATATGAGCATGCAAGTGACCTGGAGGTCAGGACGATAAATACAGAATCCCTCAACCCAGCTCTGAAAAGAAGAAGGCTGGTGGCATGTCAGCGGCAAAATTTCACAACTGGAGCCCTGCCCATTTCTAGATGGGGCAAGGGCTATTTTAGAATATTCCACAATCTCACTCAACAGGGCTTCCCACCAAAGGTCTGAAAAATGGTGGCAGTCTTCCTGGAGATTTTCAAATACTTCCAAAAAGCAATGGGACACACAGTCCTGAGCATTTGGCTATGTGGCTGCCAGTGCAGGGGCCAGTGCAGACCTGATGGAAGCCCTGAGATCACTTGGCTTTCTGGAGTATGAACCATGAAACCAACACTATTTTCAAGGAGTGATAGAACAATATTCAAGATGACAAAAAGAATTCTTGGTGTTGAAAACGTGGTTATTATATGATTGGTGACTACAGAAGATCTGTCAAATGTGGATATGAGTCGCATATACAGTTGTGCAGGTTATGTACTGCATAACTCTAGGGGTGACATCAACATTGTAAATATCAAGAGTTTTTTGGGTTTTTTTGAGTTGGAGTCTCACCCTGTCACCCAGACTGGAGTGCAGTGACCACTCCCGGCCACTGTAGCCTGGACCTGCTGGGCTCCGGCGATCCTTCCGCCTCAGCCTTCCAGTAGCTGGAACTACAGGCGTGTGCTACCACACCTGGCTAATTTTTTGATTTATTGTAGAGATGAGGTCTCACCTGCCCAGGTGGGTCTTGAACCCGCGGGCTCAGGCAATCCACTCACCTCAGCCTCCCAAAGGCACGGGATTACAGGCTGAGCCACCGAACCCGGCGGGTTTTTTTTTTAAAATAATAGTTTTCTGGAAAATGGTAGCAAAGTTTCTTGTTCTAACAAATCAGCGTGTTATGATAGTTTTATGACCAGTGGGAACCAAGTGTCTTGAGGAAGGGTAGTCTTTTCTATTTTGCACAAAGGCACTGTGTGCCTACTCCATACAACCTCTGTGAAGACTGGAGGGGCACCAGGGGCCCCACTATGACAACAAGGACATCTGGATGTCTGGAGGACAACGTAGGTGGACCCAGCATTGCCTTGCCAAGCTCTCATCAACTGCTTAGCTCTACAGGTTAGATCTGGCCCCTACCTTCCTGGGGACTTTTTCCTGGATACCTACCTCAGCAGGAAGCAGTGTGTAGGAGTAGAATTGTTTCATCTTCGTCACCAGATCATCTGTGGAGAATGTCACATACTCCACAAACTTCCGGTTCAGCAGGAACCAATCCGAGCCACCATCCACGGCGATGCCCTCTGGGATCCGCCGGTCTCCCAGGCGCCACATGTGAGCGTCACACTCCAGGAAGAGCCGATCCAGGCCTTGTTTCCGGATGAACCTGGAGGAGACCAAGTAGCCCTGAGCCCAAAGGTGTCCTGCAAGAGAAACTCTACCCAAAGTCCAGGCAAAATGACACAGCTGCAGCAAGAACAGCATACACTGAACACTTGCTATGTGCCAGGTACTGAGCCAGAGCTCTGAGTGTAGTTTATCACGAGTGAGGCAGGTCCCCATATCCCTGTGTGACTGTTACTATTATTACCCCCTTTTCACATATGATGACACTGAGGCTTGGAGAGTGTAGGGGACTTACCTAGCACAGTTGGATGGCAGTGATCATTTGCCTTGTCTACTTCCTCTCAAAGGAACTTTCAAAATAAACTCTTTTAATTTCATTTATTAATAAAGGTGTGGGATAGAAGTCAGGATTAGGTACATAAGTCTGGGCCTCCAACAGGTCCTCACTTTCCCTGGTTTAGAATCAGGTCCCCTGTGTGTTGTTACATGCCCCCCCTTCCCCCCTCCTCTGGCACTGTCCCATGACTGCTGATCCCACCCCTGTGTTATCATGATTAATGTTATCAAGATGTCCATCCTACTCAAGGCAATCTACAGATTCAATACAAAACTCATCAAATTACCAACATCATTCTCTCAGACCTGGAAATTACAATACAGAAATTCATATGGGGAAAAAAAAGAGCATACACAGCGAAAACAATCCTCAGCAAGAGGAACAAAGTGGGAGGTATCACACTTCTAGACTTTAAACTTTACTATCAGGCTGCAATAATCAAAACAGCCTGGAACTGGTACAAGAATAGGCATACAGACCAATGGAACAGGACAGAGATTCTGGGAGCAAAAATTCAATCTCTAAACCAACCCATCTTTGACAAAGACATTTGCAACAACCACTGGGGAGAGGAGACCTTTTTTAGCAAATGGTGCTGGGAAAATAAACTTTTTATGTTATATATGCTTTAGCAGTTTGGCAAATGCAGCCTACAAATTCTTACCTCAGAATAGTGTCTAAGTGCACACAACACAATACACAGGGTTTCAAAATATCACAAAAAACACACCAAAGTTATGATATGGAGAAATACATGTGCTTCTTGATTTGCATATTATATAAAGGTTTATAAAATATTTTTTAAAACATGAACTATATGATAATATGCATGTTTATTAACACATCAAATACCAAGATAGCTTGGCAGGTCTAAGAACTACCGTGATTTTGAAGAAGCAGTATCAATGATATTTAGAGGTATCTGACCAACTATAATGTGATATGAACATATATGATTCCTATTGGTGACTAAGTCACAGCTACTGCTAGCACTAATGTGGTTTGTTACTTATATTTAGCTAGATTTCAGTTAGAAAAAATAAAATAAATGTTTCATTTATTTTCATCCAAAGTCATGGGCCTCTAGTACATTTTCCCCATGAAGCCCAGGTTAATAATTCCTACTCTAGTTAATATATATGTAGTCATCTCCTTTAGAAATTCTGCAAGGCAGCCAGGGCAGAACGGGCATTTCTATTTTGCAGATGCAGAAACCAAAGCTTTCCAGGTCCCAGAGCTGGCGATATGGGTGTGTTGGGAAGATGGACAGAGCTAGAACGAAGCCTTCTGCCCAAATTCTCAGTCCATTAGTGGTCAGCATTCGCTGCACACTTACTGTGCGCCAGGCACTGCACTGGCCCTGGTGGAGACTGGGAGAAGTGAGGACGATCCCTGCTCCTGAGGAGCTTGTTGTCTAGTTGGGAGTTTGCAGTCTAGAGGTCGCCCAACCTGGGGACCCTTCTGCCCTTCTAGCCTGCTGATCCTTACATGTACTCAGGACTCTGAATTGTCAAGTTCTTATAACTCCCTTGCATGAAGGCTTCTCCATGTTGTCACCACTGCAACTTCTCTTTTTCATGTGCCTGCCATTATACAACATCTTCTGGTCAAGGCTCCTGCACATGTTTAAAATGTTCTCCCCCTTCCTCCCAGCCCATCTTTCCGCAGTCAGCTCCAATAGATCTATCAGATTACAGCCCAAAAGTTGCTCCCTCAGTTCTTACATACTGTCTGACACCATGTAATTTAGTCCTCCATCATTGCCATCTTCATCATCAGCACCGTTGTCTTCACCATCACCACCACGATCACCATCTTCATCATCATCATCATTACTATCCTCACCACTATTATCATCACCATCATAATTATTTTCATTATCCCCATCATCACCACCACCATTAGCACCATATTCATCACCACCACCACCACCATCACCACCACCACTACCATCTCCATCTTAACAATCATTATCACCACCACTATCACCATCATCACCATCATCACTATTTTCATTGTCACCATCATCACCATCACCATCATGGTGGTAAAAACATACAGAGAATTGTCATTCCAAGGGCTATAAGTGGATTATCTATTTCAGCTTTCATGAAAACCCCAGAGGTAGTACCTTATTGAAGCATTTTTTCACATGTGTGAATTTGACAGCTTGCCATGATATACCTGTGTGATTCTCTGATTGCTGTCTACTACATGCTTGACACATGGTAAATGCTTAATGGGCATTCACTGGATGAATGGATGAACTCGATCCATCAATAAGCAAGTGCATGCCCACTACCTACCACACTCCCAGTCTTGTAGTGGGTATAGTGGGGAACAGGAAACAGTATAAACCATTGGCTGCCTTCTGAGAACCCACAGTCTAATTGAGAAAATACCATAGAGAAACATGCAACCATAACTTAAATGAGTTTCAAAGAACTTCCAGAAAAATGTGGAATAGAGTAAGGTGGTAGATGTGGGGGTCAGGCATGATGTGATGGTCAGGGATGGCATGGTCATCAGGGATGGCATGATGGTTGGGGTGTTGTGGTGATTAGGGATGGTTCAGGGATGGCATTGTGGTCAGGGATGGTATGGTGGTCAGGGATGACGTGGTGGTCAGGGACGGCATAATGAAGTAGGCGGGGCCACAGTAAGGCTATAAAGGTTGCGTGGAGGAGAAGAAATGATCATTCTAAACACAGAGAACATTCTAATCAGGAGACTGCTCTGGGCTAGTGGTGTAGGTTGTGGTGGTCATATGTTTTTAATTGAGGTAAAATCCACAAAACATAAAATTAACTACTTTAAAGTGTACAACTTAGGGGCATTAATTTATTCACAATATTGTGCAACTGTCACCTCTATCTGGTTTCAAAACATTTCATCATCCCCAAATGAGACCCTGTTCCCATTAAGCAGTCATTCCTTGTGCCCCTCATCCTCCAGCACCTGGCAACCATGAATCTGTCTTCTGTCTCTATGAAGTTAGCTCATCTAGAGATTTCATATAAATGAAATAATATAACATATGGCCTTCTTTGCCTACTTCTTTCACTTGGTATAGTGTTTTCAATGTTCATCTACCTTGTAGTATCATCTATGCTTCAATTCTTGTTTCTGCCTGCCCTCCACCCACCCCTGATTTTTCTGGGAACACACCTTGATTTTACTTTGACAGGCGCTCATCTTCAGCTCTCAGTTCACCTGGGTTTTTACCTCACCATAGCACCAAGGGTGGGAATGTGACCCAGGCTAGGCCCGTTAGAGGGTCCCATCTGCCTAGACTGCACAATCGGTTCAGACATGGGCCAGCGATTCTCTAGTTGAGTCTAAGACTAGGTCTTGGATTCCTGCCATAACTATTAAGAAGGAGGGTTTAAAAAATATTTTTTTAAAAAAAAATTTAGATTCAGGGGATGTAAATACATGTTTATTATATGGGTATATTGCCTACTGGGGATTAGGGCTTCAGGCATCCCCATTTGTACCTGATATGTAGCTGCTGAACCCCCACCCCCCACCCCACTCCTGCTGCCTCAAGAAGGGCTTTTCTCCTGGATTTCTGGCTGGAAGATGTAAGTCTATGGTTTCTCGCAGCCATCTTGTTACCAGGTCCTGGACCTCACTGTGACTAACCCTACCCTGGACTTGTCAGTTATATGCGCAAGGCATTTTTGAGATGAGATTTTTCCCTTGAAAAAGTCCTGACCTACCAGATAAAAAAAAATGTGGTACCTATTCATGACGGAATATTATGCAACCATAAAGAAGGACAAAATTATGAACTTCACAGCAACTTGGATGGATTTAGAGTCTATCATACTCAGTGATCTATCATAGAAATAAAGAACTAAGTTCCACATTCTCACTCATAAGTAGAACCTGAGCACTAATCATAAAACTAAAAGAAAGGGCTTGGCAGTAGTGGGATGCTGCTAGGGAAAGGGATGGGGGCAAAAATATCAATAAGGGTACCTGATCCCAAACCAGGTTAAGTGAGGACCAACCATATGGAGGCCCAAACTTTACCTGTATGATGACCACTTATCTACCTAATCCTGAATTGCAATCCCCACCTTTAAAAGAAAAAAGAAAAAATCCCGACTAATACATGTCTGAGTGATTTCAACTTCATCATGACCATGATGGGTGGGGTTGTTCTTAGGTTTCAGATGGTGCAGGTACCCCCTCTTCCACTAAGTCAGTCAGCTTAGAATTTTAGAGCCATCTGCATTTCCATGAAGACCTCATCACTCTGTCTTCAGACCGGAGTCACCTGTCTCCTGCCAGGTAGACCCTGTTCTCTCTAGAAGAGACTTTGGCTTTCCCCCAGGCAGCTGCTCAGCAAGTCCTTTGCAATGAGGTGACTTCAGGGATTAGAAGCTGAAGATGTTCCTGCCTTGCTAGTCATGCTGAGCTCCAGAAAGAATTCCTTTCTGCTGGACCTCCCACAGATCCGCAGACATCCACTCGAGGGAACTGCTTGAAGCCTCATTAATAAGCCCATGTCCCTAGCCCTTTCTTCTGTATGATCAGAAAACCTGCTTCTAGATGTTGACTGCTAGGAAACTGATGATGGTGTAACAAGATGGTGATGATGATAGTGCTGGCAGTGAACAGACTTAATTCAGATGAAATGCCCTTTTCATCTACAGGGCAGTGTGGCTTTGCTTGTCACCACCTGGGAGACTCCA